AAGCAAACAAGTAAAGAAAAAACTTTTCAAAAAAGGAAGTAAATGTAGGGATGGCTAATATCAATCCTTCAAAAACAATGCAAACAAGATAGTAGGACTGGTATGTGCATCATCTCTACATAATACCACAGGCATACAGTGTAGTAGAATGTTAACAGACAAAAATAGGATAAATTAAATTCAATTGTGATTGAATAGTTATATATACTGCTGTATGTTAATTCTTGCTTGTGCTATTATATAGCGATGATGCAAATGCCATCCCTACTATCTTGTTTGCATTGTTTTTGAAGGATTGATATTAGCCATCCCTACATTTACTTTCTTTTTTGAAAAGATTTTTCTTTACTTGTTTGCTTGTTTTTTCAATGCAGTATTTCCACAGACATAGGAAGGTTGTATTTATAGCCAAGTTCTAAATACAGTGAGGTTCCAACTGTAATATTTATTGTTTATCTATTATTGGCTGGTAATTCTTGTTTCACCCTGTACTTAAGCTTTTATAAGGAATGCAAATTTCTGTAAAAAAAGCCAATTTCAAGGGGTAATGATAACATCGTTTACACTAGAATTATGATTTTTTAAAATTACTACTAGTTATTAATAATATTTATAAAAGTGAGTACTCCATTTGAAATTAGGTCATCTCAGTGAAACTGGTTGTTACACCATTATTTTGGCTTTTGAGTTATCCTGTAATAAAAGAGACGAAGAAAGAAGAACAAGAAATTCAGTCTTTTTCCTATGATATATACAGACATGCTAGCTGCTCTAATGTTTTATTTTTACGATGATGGTTTGTTTGTTCTCAATCACACAGCTACACAATGGGTTATCTGTGCTCTGCATACCGCGGGAATCAAAACCCCAGAGTATTAGTGTTATAAGTACAAAGACTTCCTGCTGAGCCACCAGAGGCTACGATGATGGTGCAATATTCGTCAACTTTTAAAAGATTAACTATGTAACACTGTAAAAAAAAATTCAGTTTTTAGACGAAAGAAGAGAAACTTCCACTATAAAACATAGTATTGGTATTGTTATAAGCTATATTTTTTTATTCTTGTAAGTTGTTTATTAGCTACAGGAAGTTACTGGTTTTAATTATAACATCTATTATGCCTAGTAAGTTCTAAGTTGATGTCAAGTTTTCTCGTACATTTGAAGCTAGATTATAAATACGAGGTAGCTGTGAAGTGTGTTGAGTTATTTTAAGATAGAAAGTTGAATCAGTTGTTGTGTTTTAGTAAAGTATTTGGATCTGCGTTTGCTATTGTGTTTATTAAGTTACTTCGTAAAAGTTGATTTTACCTTAATCCTAGTATTTTTAGAGAGCTATGAACGTTATTTATGTAACTATTTATATGGCCTATAACAGCTTACGACAGTGTATAATTGTTCAAGCTTGTAGAAATGTTAAAGGAGGAAATAAAGTAATTTCTTCATTTCACGTGATTAAACGTTGAATTATTTTTACCAGATATTTTAAACGAATCCACCAATGAAAGAACAATGTTATGACATTGATGTTAAAATTTCAGTGTTATTTTGTTGAATATAAAATAGAACTTTGAATGTACTTGAAATCGGAATTCAACTACTGAAGATGGCGACCATGAGGCTAATTAGTGAGATTTAAGCTTTAGTTGAAATAATGACATTATTAATACAAGGTCAGGAGGAATGAGACAAAAAATTAAAGAAAGACCAAGAAAAAATTTATGGAAAAATGAAAAGAAGATCAGGAAGAAAGAGAAAGAAAATTAGAAGAAAATTAGAAGAAAGAGACTTAATATGTAAAAAGAATTGAATATAAAAATAAATCTGATTGAAGACAAGATTGATGAAGCTATATGAGACGTATACAAAAATTACAACAACAAGTTCTAAGAAGTACAAAAGGCCATTGATGAAGTAGGAAAGCGCATCGATGAAAAAATGAAACATCTGGAAAACAAATTTTTAAATGCAAAGATTAAGCCAGTCACAACTCTTTCTTAATCGGCTCAAGAGTTCTAACAGAGAACACCATCTTCTGCAAGATATGGAATAGAAAAACTTATGTGGTCTACATCTAATACTACTACTACTACTGTTATACCACATCTTACTGAAGAACCTTTCTGGACGACTCCAGCTGTGACACTATCATATTAAGTTCTAATTGAGAAACAAATGCACTCTGATAAGAAGGTATCATAGGAAACATATCATTTGCAGCTCGGAATGATTTCAGAGCGAACGGGTAGAATTGTGAACAACAAGCTATCTATCTTGTTGCCCATTTAAAAAGACAAGCTTTGACAACATAACTAACTTCCCATCTGACAGCTGTAAAAAACTATTAAGCATTGGTAGTTGCCTTATCCAACAGGTTCAGAGTGTCACATTAGAAAGAAGTACCCAGAGCAAAGTTCCAGAACAGGGTATGGAGGAAAGAAGAGACCTTAGCTGAACTTGCACAAAATTTGGAATGGTTTACGAGATAAACAGTTAAAAACACTATCTCGAAGATACATTAGTTTAGATCAAGTTGTGTTGAAACATCAAGTCCTAATGATGATAGCTTAGAAGAAGGACTAGTTACACAGAACGGAGGAAATAAACAACAAGACAGTAAGTTATTCGAGTGTAACTTGAAAGAACATATTGCCAAGAATTGGAGACAAAAGCTTGTAGGGAATAAGTGTCCATTTTAAAGGATACCATAAAGAGTTAACTGTTATAGATGTAGGAAATCTGACTATTTTAGCCAAAACTGTAAGGAATTAACAGCTGTTAAGACACCGAGAGACAAAACCTCAAGAATGAGTCTTCGAGCTCAACCCGATTGAAGAAACAAAATGGTTATTTCTATTTTGTCATGTGTCATGCACAAAAATTAGAGGTGCTCGGTTTTGGTAAGTAAGTATGTTTAGAGTGAATTATGTGTTCTTTATTTGTTTTCACGGGTCCAAAATTATTAATCACTAATTACTGGTGTTTGTTATTTTCTGAAGAAGACATTCGGTCTAAACGTTATTTTTAGGTGTTCTACAAATAATAATTTTTGTGTCTATTTGAGTTACAGTTATATTCATTCTTTACCATGTTATTATTTTTAAATTATCACCACTATAATACTGATTGGACTGTTTAATAAAAGCAAACTCCTAAAAGCCATATTTGAATTGGGTGTGTATTTTTGGGACTGGAGAAGAGCTAGTAGAATTTTAAGAAGGACGAGTAAATTTTTCTAGTATTTCCTATTATTCTTGATTTGAAATTTATAAAATATGATAGAAATACAAAACTACGCAGGAAATACATTACCATCAGATTTGCTATGGAAAGAGGCATTATGTCTGTAAGAAACGACTCAGCACAGGCACACAGTGTAGTAGAATGTAGTAGTATTGCTGTATGTTAATTCTTGTTTGAATTGTTTTTGAAGGATTGCTATTAGCCATCCCTAAATTTACTTCCTTATTTTGAATATTTTTTTCTTCACTTGTTAACTTGTTTTTCTTTTTAATGTAGTGTTTCAATAGACTTAGCAAGGTTATATTTATAACCAAGTTCTAAGTACAATGATGTTACAACTGTAATTTTTATTGTTTATATATTATTGGCTGATAATTCTTGTTTTTAAGCTTCTTAAAGGAATGCCAAATTTCTGTAAGAAAACTAATTTCAAGGGGTAATGATAACATCATTTACATGAGAATTATGATTTAATTTATTATTCACTACTGGTTATTAATAATACTTATTAAAGTGGATACTCCCTTTGAAACTGTCACCTCAATGAAATTGGTTAACACCATTGTTTTGGTTTTTGAGTAATCATGTAATAGAAAAGAAGCAGAAGAAAGAAGAACAAGAAATTCAAACTTTTTGGTATGATATTTACAGACATTCCCAGAATTTGTGGCTCAGTCATTACACAGATATTGTTATAAAAGGAAACACTGTATAGTTTTGTAAAGTTCTGATGGCCTATTGAGGAGATATTTAAGATACCATTTTGATTAACAATCCGAGCCATTCCTACATAGGCAGTGCTACTGCCTGCCTGATAATGTTATAACATGATGAACACTGGATAATCCATTGGTAACAAAACTAAATGTCTATAAAAATTGTCAACACAGATATTCTGAAATTAGTAAGATCTTCAAGTGTTCAGTTCCTGTTTTTTCCTTTAGTAAAATTAAAGCTCAGTGATTCAGAGTTTAATAATACCACAGTCTGTTTTTACTGACTTCATTGTTTTCAACCCCTTTTACTTCTATTTAAACTGTTAGACCAATTGATTTGATACACAAGTTGAAACAATTGTTTTTTTGTGTTGGTCTTCATTAAAAAATGGCTTGATGGTCATCTTGATGATATTTTAAAGTTAAAAACCTACCACACTGTAGATTTCAAAGGACTTAGTTGTTTATTATTTTATTCCTTTAGATACAGTTAGTGGTAAAAGTCGATTTCAGCGTCCTTGGCGTAGACATAATAAAAGCAGTCATTCAGATGGCAGTACCAGTCCTAGTCTTCGGTTAAGTAGTGGAGATAGTCCAGAATTATGTAAATGTGAAAATGGGTATATATTTGTCACTTCTCCACTGACCACAGACTTTTCTGAAACTGATGACTGTGAAATATTTAGTAAGTGAACATTTATTTTTATTATTTTTTAAAGGTATAATATAATTTAAAAACAATTAAAATGGATTGACACATTTAAAGCTGTTTTTTAAGTCATACAAAATAGTTTACTGCATGTTTTGTGAAACTTGTTGTTATAAAGGGTAGCTGTTGTAGCTGTAAGGCATTTTCAAAAGAAGGGCTCTTATTATTGTCTTACTTCACATCACAGTTGACTAACATGCTCATAAGGAGTGAAGCAGGGGTCGGAACAAGGATATTAATGCAAAAGAACAGGAGATCTCCTACAGGTCAAAAATTGATTGTGATGTATAATCTAATCCCAAAATAATTGTGAAAGATGTGATAATATAGGGTTCTAGTAAGATTTATATAAAACCTGCATGAAACTTTGGTCTCTATTACCACAGACTACATCAAAACAGAAGAGACTTTTTTGTTCACTTGAGCTGCCTAGCAGAGAAAGTGAAAGGGGCATTAATCTTTATTTCACAGTCTTCAATTCTTACAGACAAATCCAATCCAGTAACAGTTCACACCCATACTGCGATTACAGTATTCCAGGTCAGCCCACTAGGAAATTCAAATTACAGATATCTAGTATGGATGTCTTATGGGAATATTAGCCATTTGAAAAATAGTGGGAGACAGCATTCTGACGCAGTGTGTAGAGATAAGTTGAAGTTACAGCCCTGACTGTTTTAAGCAATATAGCTTAAATGTAGCTTAAAATTGATAAATTATGAGAATCACTGAAGTTACAGGAACTTTCTTCAAGAATAACAATCAAAACATTGTGTATGTTCAAAGGTATCAACATAAGGATTTCAGATAATAGGGTTGGTTGGTTGGAGTTCTTTGGTGCAAAGCAACAGGGTTATCTGCACCCAGATAATAGGGAGAAAAGAATTCAATCAATATATCTGGAGGTTATAATTTTCCTATACTGAAAATATATTTCCAATAGGTACATATCTCCTCTCACATATATAGCTATTTTCGTTCAGTGCTGCCCTCTATATTAAAACAATTTTTTGCATGCCCAAAGCCTTGCACTCCCATGTACCTCATGAGTATTGTGGTTCAACTGTGTCTCACATGCAAATCATCATGCTTTGCCAACTGATCTGAGAAGTGGGCATGCGTGCACAATCCACAAATAAGTAAACATTCAGGAACCCAACATCTGAATGACAGCAGTAAGAGATGTGCCCCTGTGGGAGGTCGCATCATACTCAAATTCAATCTCATAAGCACCCCCACTGCAATGCAACAACCTCAAGTCATGAAAACTTCTTGAGGTGGAGTGCCAGAGGGAGAACCATTGCCTCCTTCAACATTTATCCCCCTTTTTGTGATCATGAGACAAATTGAGAGAGGACTTATGTTGATTGGTCCTGCTCGAAATCCAAAACCAGTCACAGAGAACCGACATCCATGTTATGGTAGAATGAGGCATCCCAAATGAAGGGGTGAACTGCAATGCGACCGATCAACTTCAAAGCAATATCATCTCCTTGGACAGGACCATACAGCATTGGAGAGCATTGCAAACTTCTGGATACCAACGTACAGAAGTGTATTGCCCCTATAAGTCATATGAAGCCACATCATCCGAACAGTCACAGAAGCTAGATGCAACATCAACCCTCAGAGCCCACCATACAGAGATGGAGTCTAGTTATTAGTAAAAGATATAAATGATCTTTCCACTTCATATGAGAAAATTAAAAAGAAAAATGTGTGTTGAGAGCACGATCAAAACACATCTTGACCTAACAAGAAGTGATAGTGTTGGATATACAAGACTGTTTAGCTTAATAGTTATTTAATTTATTTAGTGATTTAATATTTAATGATTATTTAGTTTTCACAGCAAGAGTGTTAAAAGTTAATTATTTTAAATGTAATAGTTATGACAAGTTTATTAGATAACTTTGTATGAGTCGTACATTGTTTATGCAGTTTTACTGTTGTACTAGGCTTTAGTAATATTGTAGACGTCATCTTACTGGAAGCTTCCAAGTTTTCTATTTATGTGTAATATTGTTGCTACTAGAAGGTTAGATAGTTCTAGATTTTCTGTCGTGTGTTATAAGTACATGCAGATACAACAAGTTAAGGAAGATAGAAAAAAGTTAGTTAGTGAAAGAAAATGTGAAGTTAGCCAGCGTGAGTGATTTCTATAGTGTGTTTCACAGCTGTATTGTAACAACAGAGAAAGGAAAAATAAGTTGTCTTGTCAATTGGGTTTTAAAGTAACTGAACCAGCCTGTGTGGACTTTTGATGAAAAAAAACACAGTTGTTTGAAGCTCTGGATACAACTGTGTTAAGCAACAAAGGAAGTTAAATGAAGTTAAGTCAGTGAAAGTGAAGTTAGACTGTGTGATTATTAGTTTAGCCATAACAGGTGATATTTTAAAGTGAGTTTCACAATTTAACAGAGATAAGGAGAAGAATTTGTCTTGTGAAAGGGTGTTCTAAAGTAATTGAACCTGTCTGTGTGCTTAGACCATTACACATGTACCAGAGCTTGAAGCCTTTGAAAAAAATTAAAGTATTAAAGGGGACTGGAACTGACACGTCCAAGACAATATAAGTGTTCAGCACCTGTAAAATGTATAGATACTAAAACAAAATATATATTATAGAACAACCTTTTTCAAAAGATTATTGGAGAATGAAGATAGTAAATACTAGAACTGAGGCTTGAACCTTGGGGAAATCAAAATGAAAACAAAAAACGATAATCAGTTGAACAGTTCATTGAACAGCCCTCCCCACAAACAAAAAAAATGCACTGAAATGATTTATACATTACAGTATGTTAGATATACATGACTGTTTAAGTTTAATACGAGTATTGTGATATGGATAGTTTATATAGTGCGGATGTAATGCTTTGTTATTTTTAGAAGCAATATTTTATGATAAGTTTGTTCATGTAACTTTTTACGAATCTTACATTGTGTAGTTCAATTGTTATTAATAAGTGATTGTTTACAATAGTGATATTATTGTGTCATGTTGTTAGAACATTTTGAGTTTCTCGTCAGTTTAATTGAGTATTATTGCATCAGAATATCTAGTATTGCATTGAATGTTCTAGACATCTATTGGGGTATAAATACACATTGAAAATCTTTATTTAGTTCTAGTTCTAGACTGCATGATTGTGAGTTTAGAGATAAAGAATGTATGGTGGCAATTTTTAAAGTGAAATTATCACAGACTGTATTGTAATAACACATTAAGGAAGAATAATTTGTTTTGTCAATTGTGTTCTAAAGTAACTGAACCAGCCTGTGTGGACTTTGACAAAAAATAGACAATTATTGAAAGCTCTGGATACAACTGTGGTAACCAACAGTGTAATGAACATTTGTATACGAGTTTGATTTGTTTTTGATATATTATTTTAAAAAAAGTGGACTATGTTGCTGTTTGTTTATTGTAAAAATTTATCCACAAGTCACAGACACCTACTGTAAAAAATCCAGCCTTATAAAACCTGACACAGTAACAAGGATGTAATTGAAATGGATGTATTTTCATGGTGTCAAGCTTAGAACCAATTTATTATAGTAGTGAAAACTATATGATGTTGATTATTAGCAGTCATGATTAACAGGTATGATGTCAGATTGATCAATGCATTGATGATATGCACATAGAACCTTATGAAAAATTAGAGTCAACAGTAGGCATGTGAAGGTGTACAAAGCCAGCAAATTGAATATGATTTCTGAGTGAGATAAGTCCAATTATAATGTGATATGTAAGATTAATTTCCTCTTAACAATAAAAGAAATACATAAAAATGAAAATGAAACTTATTGATTGTATATGTTACATTCTTGATTCTGAAATAATACTTAATAAAAACAAAACACTTTAAGTTAAAGATACTGCAGAAATAGAGATAACTTTTAGTAGTAGCAGTTCAGTTTTTATTTAACTTTTATTATTATTATTACCTCTTTTATTTTATTACTGAACATGTACTCAGTTCTAATGAAGTTTCATTTTTAAGCTTTTATTCCATTTAATTCAAAATATATCACAACTGTTAATGTTTTTTTGTTTCTTCTTAAGCTGAAGTTCCTTCCAAGAATAACTCAGGTAATCGAAATTTGTCTTGTGCTTGTATGGATGAAAGTACAAGTCTTGATTCACCACCACAAACAATTAAAGAACCAGTTAGCCTTAATTCTCAACAAAAAGATGAAGTACCAATGAAGCCCAAAGAACCAGAGACTGTTGTTTCAGCACTTGAAAATTCTAAAGAATCTGACTCTTTGAATATTGAAGTTAGTCCTACCTCACCACAGGTGACCAAAACACCAGTAAGTCCTCACTCATCTTCAGAGAGCTCTTTCTCATCACCATCAATGACTAGAGCATTAGGAAGTCCTTGCTCACCTCAGGTGACCAAACTATCAGAAAGCTCTTTTACATCATCAATGACTGAAGAACTAGAAAGCCCTTGTTCCCCCCAAGTGTCCAAAGCATCAGAGAGCTCTTTCTCACCACCAGTAACCAAAGCATCAGAAAGTCTCTGCTCACCACAAGTAAACAAAGCATCAGATAGTAATTTTTCTTTACTAGTGATTAAAGGACAAGGAAGCCATAACTTATCTCAAGTGACCAAATCATCAGATAGCTGTTTCTCATCAGCAGATACTAAAGGATTAGAAAGTTCAGGCTCATCTAAAGTGAGCAGAATATCAGAAAATTTGTTCTCACCACAGTTGGCCAAAGCACCAGAAAATCTATATTCACCTCAGATAACCAAAAGTCCAGGAAGTCTGTGCTCACTTCAAGTAAACAAAGCATTTGAACAAATTCAGACCAAAACATCAGAAAATATGTACTTACCTCAAGTGACCAAAGCACTATTTGGTTCATTCTCATCATCATTGATGACCAAAGCACAAGAAAGCCCAATCTCAACTCAAGCGACCAAAGCATCAATGTGTCTTCTCTCACCACCAGTGACCAAAGCACCAGAAAATACATACTCACCTTCAGTGACCAAAACATCAATGAGTTCCCTCTCACCTGCAGTTGCCAAAGTACCAGAAAACCTATTCTCTTCAGAGATGACTAAAAATCCAGTAAGATCTTGCTCACCACAAGTGATCAAAGCACCAGTGAATTCTTTCTCATCACCATTCTCTAAAATGTCTGGAAATCCATGTTCTCCTTACTTAACCAAACAACCAGTGAGTCCATGTTTACCCTCATTGAGCAAATTGCAAGAAGGTTATTGTTCAGAGCCAAAAAGCACTAGCAGTTTTTCATATTCAAAAGGGGAACTAAAGTACAAGTGAATACTTGTCTGCCAATGGAAGTAATTGAAGTATCTGAACTTGAAAAAGAACAGGTATCATTACTTAAGAAGGATAAAAGATGTACATGTAGGCCAACTTATATAAATTCCTGAAACAGAAACTTGTTTTGTTCAAATTCTTTCCTGAAGCACATAAAGATGTGTTTTTTGTTGTTTAACACTAAAAAAATTCAACTTTTTCGGTCCTTTTTGCAGATGTTATGAATTGTGTGGATATTTTCACAATATAAAATGATGCTGTTTTTCAGACATTGATGACATGGATCCATTTATATTGTTAGAATTTTCCTTTATTTTGAACTTTGATGTTTGTGTATAGGAGATCCATAAAAGTATTCCTTAAATGTGTTTTTTAATTTCCAACATTATATCATTAAATTGGATGTTAAGTGTTAAAAACTGTAATTTGAAAATGTGTTATCCATTTTGGCCATCTTCAAAAATTGCTCTGTGTGGAGAACCCCAAACATATAATGTTGCCTATTACTTCTCTATCGTGTACAACACTACAAGTATGAGACTTAACAAAAACCAGGTTTTTTTTAAAGAATGCTGCAGAAGGTGTACATCTTAGTTGATAGAGATTGATGAAACTGTAATGCACAGAGTTAAGTTTCTCGTGACTGGTACATCTCAACATGCAGTTATTGTGATAAATAAGTACTTATTTGAATAGCTTGTTGTCACTAAGTGTTTGATAAAGTCAATTTAGATTAATGTTTAATAAAGTCAATTTGTATTAATATTTTCATTACTATACAAATAACACATAACAGTGAAACAAAATTAAACAAGCAGAATTGATTTACAGAATGTCTTTAACTTTCACGTAATACAAGTAATGGAACAGAGTAATATTTTTGATGTGTAACTTATGTGCTATGCACAGTCATCTGAAAAAAAATTTAGGGATTAAATTGAGTAGTTTTGTATCCATAAATAATGATTCTAAGGTAGTATACTTCAGATAAAAAATATGAAACTGCAAGTTGAAATAAAATATTTTAGTCAAAAATAAATTGGTATGTTTGAGAAGGAACTCATACCATTTTAAAACTTTGCCATCTCAGTGTGAGAGATGATTATTATTTTACAGAAAAGCTGATACTGACATGTTTTGCCAGAAATAGATGAAGTTTAGACTTAAAATGACACTATCTTAGAATTATAATAATCATAGTGAAAAAGGCTCATAATGTATGCTTTCAGGAGGTAGACTGTCTTCAAAAGATGTTTTTTTACATTTCACCTTTGATGTAAAAAAAAAGATATACTCTCTGAAAGTGCTCACTAAAGCATAATATTAAATGTTACCAATAATATATTAACATTAGATTTAGTACTCAGCATATACAAGAATGAAATGGTTGTTTTAAAAAAATGAAATGTGTGAATAGTTCTTGATTGTATGATGTATATCTTCAGCCATTTCATCAGTGAAATAATCTGTAAGGTTTTCTTATGATAGCAGTTTGGTATTTGTCATCAACTAAAGCATAAGTGACCTAGTAGATTTCTTTTAAATTTAACAACAAATTTTAGATGTTCTTACATAGTACCTGTTAGTATGCTGAACTGAAAGTACCTGAAATTTGATTGTGTGTTACAAAATTAGCCATGTAATATATAGATCAATCAGGTAAAATATGAAAGGAATGATTAAACAATATTGTATTAGTTTTTTTATGAGCATTTCTAGTGTCTTATAAAATATTGAAGGAGAAGTATGTGTTATATTGACCACAAGTTACATACGTTGTCAATACAAAGAGCAGTTTGATGTATTTTATATATATTTCTGATTTCCATACACATTTTCATTTAATACTCCAAATTAGAATTGCTTTTTCTTTTATTTTCAATGGCCATGAAGTGCTTATCATATACATTGTAAACTGTCTTTTCAGTTTAAAACTGTATTAAAGGATACATTAGTGTTTTGTGTACTGATAGTACTAAATACTATGAAACAATGGTTGACTGTTAATAAAACTATGTGTGTTAAATGAATTATTATATGTTAAAATATTTCTGTAATTTTCATTATCACTAGAATTGTTTAAAGGAAGTGGTACAACATTGATGAAAATATTGTTCATTTGAAGCATGATGGGATATTTTTGAGATGCTTGATCCCTTGCCATTTCATGCATGTGTTGTGCATCATGACCATTATGGATGTAAGCATCGGTATTGGAAAATGGAGAGTATTGATAAAACTCTTAAGTTGTTCAGTCATTTCTTTAGCTGCCTGTGTTTGTAATGTGAATAACAAGAGATCATATAATATATCAAATCAACCTCAAATATAATCAGAAAGAAAAACCTATTTTGTGTGTTTGTGAATGGCTTTTCTTAGATATCTCAAGTCACATGGCCACTTTGTGTATAGTGTAAGTTTATGCCGATAAAATGTTTATCAAATCTAGCTGTAATATTTTATGTGTACAAATAAACAACCAGAGAAATTACATCAGTTAATTTTGTAAACAATAGCAAAATGATTTTCATATGAACCCAAAAACTACTTTTAAAAATAATTAAAAAATACTAAGGTCATCACACTGTGCCATAAATAATTTAACAATTTTATTCCGTAAATGTTATTTTCAGTGTTATCAAAGTGGTATGGGAATAGAAAGTAATATAACTTGCAATATTTATAAATCTCTGTACATTTACGTAAGGATAGAAGAATTGCTGCATTGTGTAGGAAAATATTAACAGTTAGTATGACTGTTACAGGTACAATGGCTATTAAAAGTGGAAATATCCAAGGATTCTAACTGAACTATTTAACCTCTTTCAGATTATCTCAGGTTAGACAACTTTTATTTTGAAGCTGTACATTAAAGCTTATAATAAACAAAAAGCATTTATAAAAATACATATTTTCACATACACACAAATGCCCTATGTTTAATAACTTAACAATAACAATAGATTGATATCATTACAAATTAAAAACACCAATCTGAAAGAGGTATTTAAGAGGTACAACAATATATATATATATATATATTAATTAAACACTAACAACTGTTTGAAAGAATAATTTACAAGTGAATGATTCTGGTTTTTAATAAATGGTAAATAAGTGTTAATAACATTGGATGATATATTACCAACATGTTGTTAACATAACTTATTTATTTACCCAAAATAACTATAAATAGTGACTGACTGATGGACTGACTCATACATTAGATAAACTTTCTTTATTACTCCATTTTTTTTTACTGTTGTTATTTCATGTAAATAAAAACAAACTTTTTTTTCTTCTCTTAACTGTATTTTTATGTAGGGAAAATTGTTCAGTCCATTTTTTTAGTTTTAATTTTTTAATGATTTATAGCAAATTTTGTTTCATGTAATTAAAATTTTCAAATTAAGCCAGTTGTCATTCAAGAAGTTTATTATCAGTTAAATAATATGTGAAATTATAGAAATATAAGAAAGTTTTTCACTTATATTTTAGTAATAAAACTACCTCTATTTGATATCTTATATTCTGTACATAGCTGTATTTAATATTAATTTGAAACATTTCACTTTATGACCATAAACTACTACAGACAGAAATTTCCTTATTAATAAGGATATAAGATTACAAACATCTTGAAGTAGAAAATATCAAGTAATCTGAAAATTTTAGATTTTTTGTTTAACTTATCTAAAATATGTCTGTATAGTGTAAGTTGAAGGATTAGAAGTATGAATTGAATAGGTTTAATGTTAGTGATAGATCTTGAATGCCCAACAAGTAAAATATTTTAAACTAGTAACATCAGTTTTCAATAAGAAAATAACTGTTTTGTTCACCACATGAAGTCTGTAATAAAACAAAAAATCTAGATCACACACTGGCAGGAAGCAAGTGTTATGCATTTGTCTAAACTTTCAACACTCATGATTTTGAAATTGTATAAGCTTAAATTCATATACAACAGATTGTCCAATTCTCCTTCGTCTTAAGACCATGTTCAAAACATAGGTCAAAAAAGCAAGTATGATATTAATGTTTAAATTTTCTAGAAATCATAAGACTTTCCACATGTTTCCTACAGAAAAAGGACAATGTAGCAACCACTTTGGTCGGTTATATAAATTATAATTTTTTTTCCCTATGAAAAACTTGTACTCTTAAAAACTTAAGTTTTTTATGAACTAGAAACTCAGATTGTATGGTTGATCCAAATCACCTGCTGGCATGCCTTATGATACATAATTTCCAACAAAAAAATGTTTATCTTCACAGAATAAGTGCATGAACAGTACTTTTAACTTATATGAAATAATTCTTTGTAGTAAGACAAATATTTGGTGATCAGTTTAAATGTCTATCATGTACCAATATGTGGGTTTTATAAAGTTTTTATTTCTACTCAAGAAAATCATTGTATATAATATAATAACATTTGTTGAAAGCTATTGTATAAGCTCTTTAGTTCTAATAGTAACCTTTTGCCTAATTTAGTGCTAAGAACTAAACAGATGTTCTTGGTCTTATGTTCAAAGACTTGATTAATGTGAATGCAATCTAACACAAATTTTAATTTGAAAAAATATTACCTAAGTCTTATTTCATTATGAACTTAACTTAAATTCACTATTATGTCTGGTATTAAGTACATGAGTTTTATTTCATTATAAGCGTAATTTAAATTCATTGTTATGTTTGGCATTAACTCATAACTAATTATTATATAAATAGTGTACACTATATATCTATATCATATGAATAATAATTAGATATTTTGTGATGATAGATTAAAATTAGTAAGGTTATCAAAAATATTTTACAATATATTGAAATTAAATTCTGTGAATTAAGTTAATTTAAAGATTTTACTGTACTTTTGAAGCATGAACATACGATAAAAGCTGAGAGTAAAAATTTACAATATTTGCAGAAATTTTACTATATGTATTGAAGACTGATTAAATATATTTTGTACATGTGTATCTAGTAAAAATAAGCAAAGCTGTATAACAAGTATATATTTTTACATGTTATCAGTTAATATTTGTCAGAATGCTTAATTAAAGCTGCAGTAAGCAAAATTTAAAAAAATTGTCTATATTTTACATAGATTATAGTAAGTTATTGTATATGTAGGTCCTCCTTTTGCCATTGAACCTGCATATTGTAAAACCTGTTAGTCATGAAGATAATTAAATAAAGAATGCCAATGATTATACAATGTCATAATCAGGTTTTAGTCATGTTAAATGTTGTTTCATGGTGTATTGTCTTGTATGGTACTCTCAATATTGGTACTTATCTACCACATGCGTTTTTGAATGTATAGTATCTGTGTTTATTAACAAAAGTTACTTAAATATTGAACTTTTGTTTGCTTCTAAATATTATAAATTAAAATGGCTGAGAAAAGAATACTGTAAACATTGTGCAATAAATAGAATAATGAAATACCAGAAAACTAGCATTTGACAAACTGAGACTTAAAATGTAAGATTTAACAGACACTCATACTATTGTTTTTATGCTAAAATTTATTATAAATCTATTTATTATTTGTCAAATCTTATGTTGTAAAATACCTAAGGCAGTAAACATGATATTACATGTAGGTGTAATATTATAATAAGGCTGATCAGTAATAATTTTAATCATCTACCTTTTTACTGATGCAGTAAACATATCCAGCAAAAAGAGGGTATACTAAAGTGGTATACTGATACCAAGACATCTCTCTCTTCTAGTGTATATTTCATATTTACATATATTTTAAATTTCGAGTTATAATTTTAAACATAATAAATCAGGTTGAAGTTGTAAATTGAATTCAATCCAGGGTGCTACTTTCTGTAGAGAATTCATTTTAAGAGATTATCAACTTGCATGGAATATTTGTATTGTATCCTACAGTACCTTGTGTATGTGGAACTGTACAGTTGCATAGGTGTCTCTGGATACTAGTGATAGAATGTTTTTATTATGAAACTACACAGAATATGTAGATTGTGGGAATAGTTTTGTGATTTTTTAATGACATTCATTTCTGTCTTGAAATATTTAAGACTTATGTGCTGCAGAAATGTTATTCTTCACTTAGCTGTATTTTCAACCTGCTGAACATGTATACATATTCTTTTATTAACAATTACAACTAGTTTTCAATTTGTTTTTGAAGAGTTTTATTTTAATCTTGTTTATTATAACAGTTTTTTTATTTAGTTTTATTTAACAACGACTTGTTTATTCTTCATTAATCTTACACAAGAATATAGTCCTCACCACTAGACTGATCAGCCTGAGTTTTCAGACATTTCTTTTGTACCTGTCATTGAAGTGTTTTTTTTTGTTGTTGTTTTTTTGTCATCCTTACATTGAGTATTGGCTTTTTCATTCCACTTGCAAGAAATTATTACACTTATTCTTCAAAATACAAGATCAAGCATGCTTTATTTGTCTTTACTACTTAAAGTACATTGCTGCCAATGAGGCCTCTTCCTCAGCATAAGAGTTTTTGAAACTAACTGGGTTTCAGCATATTTTTTTGCATCTAAAAGTTAGTACATCATCTTCAATAGCAATATATTCCATTACTAAACCTTTCATTTTAATAAACACTACTCTCAGCCTCTCATGCATACTTATTAAGTTCATTGTGATGTTCTTATATAACTACTAATATCTAGAAGTACATGTTTCCACATGTTGAATATAGAAAAAATTGCACAAGTCAAATTAAAATCTATTTTCTTCATGTTACTAAAAAACGCTGCTTCACAGGACCTATCAAACTTAGAAATCAAAATAATTTTCTAGAATTTTAATGAACTGAAATTTATAAAAAAAAAAATATCTGGTGCATATTATTTCTTGTATTATTAAATGCTATGATATTAAAATTACTTTGCATGTTTCTAAAAGAACAACATGTTATTGTTTAACATAATTGAAGATACTTATGCAAACAAATTATATTGAACTTTGTATCTTCAGAAGATTATACTGTTCTTTATTATTTAAACTACTAACATGCACATACAAAAATAAATATCGAATTGAAAAGTATGGATTAACATATTATCTGCAGTAAATCAAACAGTCTGAATCATTCTTGTGTTGAATAATGAGTTATGCCCATGGGATAATTTTTCATGCTTTAGCTTAGATTCATTTTATTCTTCCTGTATGCTATTTCATTTGACGATACTATTGGGTCTCAAGATTACCACTGAGCCACCAGAGTACAGTTACAGTTGATTCAGTTTTAATTCATATGATTTATATATTTTATTATTTACCACATAAAAATGCACATTATGTATACAAAGTGCAAACAAAATTAAATACACCCAGATAAGAATTTATTTGCTAAGTGTATGGTATATAAATACACCATAGGTTTCTGTTCTTGTAGTATTACAATATGTGTCCTGAATATACACAAGTTT